CCTTCCAGCCCTGCCCTAAGCCCTGTGTGCAAGGACAGCCCTGGGTGGAAGAAATGCTGAGCTAAAGGGTCAGTAACGCATTTATTTAGTGCGTTATCCAGCCATGTGCTAAACCAGAATGCCTTTGTTAATCCAGTAGGACAACGATTCATCACCGGGATGTTAACTGCTGTCCTGTACATGCCCGTGATGACAGCCGCGCTGAAAAACATGACAAGTGACAAATGATTTTTTTTTTTTAAAAGGGTATCCCCTACACTTTGCTAAACAGAAATCTCCTTGTTAGTCCACTGGCTCTTTCAAGACCAAAATAAGTGACTCCAGAAGGGAAGCGGACTTTTGAGGAAAGGCCACCAAGCCTGAAACTGCATCAGTCCCCAGGCCAGACAGGGCGATGGTGGCAGAGAGGAAGAAGGACCTTCCTCACAGACGTGCTCTCCTACAGACACCCACACACCTGCCTCAGGGGCTTCGGCTCCTCTGGCAACTCATGCAAACAGCATTCCTCAAAGGCGAGGAAGACTCCCGTATCTATAGCTTTGCGTTTACCCAGGACACGCACAGACACAGAGCTGTGCCAGTGGGGAAAAAGCTACAATTCTGTCAGGTTCACAGGGAAATTCATGGACACTCAAGCCTGTGAACTACTTCCCTGTAAGAACAACTAAACATGGGGTTTGGTGGTTTGGTTTGGTTTTTTTTTTTTTTGTGTCTTTTTTTAAGGCTTGACTAAAAGAACACATGATTTCTGTGGAAGATGTCTGGATGAAAAGCATTAATCATTCTGCACATTTTGAGTTTGGTGGGTTTTTGCTGTTGTTTTTAGAAGATCTAAACAATCCAATCTCCACCCCCATTTTCCAGCAAAAGACAGAAAAGCATGTTTTCCAGCTACAGAACCATGGGCAGCAATGCACTCAGCCTCGTAATCATGTTGTCGGGAGTTATAGTCTTAATAGGCTTGAAAAATACAGGCCCACCATGAAATAAGGAGTAAGTACTTAATTTTCATTTTACTTCTTCATGTTAGTTCAGATTAGCCATGTGCCGCCCTCAGAAGAAAACACTCCTTCTACAAACTTGGGTTCCTACATTGCTTTGAAAAACAAATGAATCACCCCTGGTATTTCTCCTGTTACCGTCTCATTTTACTCTGATCCCTCTAGATTTGACTGCACAAGTTTATTTCCACTTTTCCTCTCTGTGGTGTCCTTAATCACTGCACTTTGTTAACTTTTCTATAAAAATTACATACACTGGAGCCTTGTAACCACCCTGCAGGAGAACACAGACTGATTTACATTTAATTATCAGCTCTTTCAAGCACCAGGTTGAAGCCGGAGAAGAATCCAGGAGGTCCTTCTGCCTTGCTTTAATCTCCATTTTGTGCTTCTAAACATTCATTAGCTTGGAGATGAGAGACCATAAGAAAATCATCCCCAGGAGATACAGAGGTTGCAGATACAGCCCTGACGTGACCCACTGGGATATTTGCCCACTAGACCAGGAGGTGGGGAGAGCAGCGGAAGGACGGCACTGTGTGTCCACCACGCACCTTCCTCCTCACGTCCACAGGCCATGCATGGACAGGAGCATGCAAAGCAGACACCATCACAGCACAAGCACAGGGACTCTGCTTCTGACGTGTGAAGGACGGGGACAGAACACTTTAGGGAGGTGCTACACCTTAGTGCAATTTGGGGGAAAGAGCATCTAAAATGGGGTTTGCAGGCTTCCCGGAAATCACAGCTTCCCAGCGCCTTTATTGCACAATTTCCCGTTAACGTAACGTAATTCTTACGCAATCACAGCTCAGGCACTAGTGACAACAGCCACCATCTGCAGTGCCCAATTAGAATCAAAATAACTCCGCTGAAAATTAAAGGAGGTTCTCAATTCCTCCACTTCGGATATCCCACCTCCAGCTGCTCCCATAGAGGACAGCAGGTCCTACAGAGGAAGAGAAAGACACAAAAGGGCAAGCAAAAGCGGGAGAGAGGAGAGAAAGCAGTGCGGAAACAAGAAAGTGTTTGACCTGGCAACTTGCTTTAAACCTTGATAAGCCAAGCCGAGCTCGCCATCTTCATTGAGATACCCCCAGTCCTCAGTCTTGCTAGAAATAAAGGACAGAAAAAGGAAACGAGAGGACAGAGAAAGACAAAAGGTCAATTGCAATAGAAGGGGGAAAGGTGCAGAACCCTCATTAATTTTATTTAATTTTTTAAAGCACGCTTCCATTACATTGTATTTCCTTTTCCACCATGGTGAAGGAGAATCGTGCTCCAGTTGTGCCCCTTACGATAACCTCTGGCCGGCTGAGCTTCTCCCTCCCCAGCTCTGACACACGTCTTCGTGGAGCCCTTTCCTCCCCAACCCACCGCAGCTGACACGGGAACCCAAACTCGTTCAGGTGGGAAGGGATGATCACAGACCATCCAAGTCCAACCTTGTGGCAGGTAATTGTCATTCCTAAGATGTTACTCAAACTCCTGGAGGTCACAGCCTGAGTTTTCACTTCTATGTGGCTAAAATGTTTCCCACTCGATTGCAAGGAAAAGCTGCCAAGCCCATGCCAGCAGCCAGCTCAAATCCTCACTGAAACCTTATGCTTCAAAACCATAAACAAGGACCACGAGGGAGAGAGCAGAAGTCAGTCAGAGGGGGAAGGAGCGTACATGGATTCTCAGCAGTTCCCAATAACCTTTTTACTTCCCCCCTCAAACAAAAACCAAACTATTTTTGAGCTGGAACAGCCCACATGCACTTCCATCCCACCGCACAAACGTAACCCAACCCCGTGTTTTACTGCAGATGGACAGCTCACACTGCTCACTCTGTGCTCTGGCACATCTAAGACATTTTTAAGACAAGTTTCTCTTTTTCTTTTCTTCTGCAGCAACTTCCACTGGTCTGAAATAAAATCTCTGCCTTCGACTTCAGCCGAAGGTCTCCTCAAAGTCAAACACATCAGCCTTCCCTCAGAGCAACCTTCAGCCCAAACATCCCTCGGATGTTTGTTTCCTTACATCCGTATGAGATCGTATCTCCACTGCAGCCATCTCGGTAGAAAAATGCACAGCAAAGTCTAATCTCTTTTAATACTAAGTCTTATCTCTTTCAATGTTAAAATTTTCCTTTTAATAGGTGGTAGTTTTTTTAGGTTATAAACAGCAAGAATCT